ACCTCTGCCTTTTCGCATAGAAGGGTTGTTGCCCGTTTTTGTTTTTACATACAAATTGTATCAAACCAAACAGCTGGTTTTAAAGGTTACCTCCGTTCGACAATGAAAGAAGAACGTTTAGACTATTTAATGGTAGCTGCATGTTTCAGTGACATTTTAGATCGTTTGGATCTTGATGAAATTGCAGATAGCTGGTCAATTCTTAAAACTAGAAAAATGAAGATATAAATAGCTTTGAAAAAAGCAAACATTTAGTAAACTAAAGCTTTTCGTCTGACACTCTTCAGAGTTTAAAACGTCAGAACATAGATCGAAAACTCTACGCTAAGAAATATATATACCCAGTTGTGGATCGAAATAGGCCATCTTATATTAGAAACAAAACACATCCCCAAAGAGAACAGCCACCTCGGTCTTGCAAATCCAAAATTACTAATAAAACCTGCGATTCTGCTATCGGGCAGCATTTGCTAGAAAACCCAGATTGTGCAAAAAACTATAATGGCGACATGTTTCGGTAAGATAAGTTCAGCTTGCAATTTCGTTATATCCAGTTTATCCTTATAAAATTATATCCTAAAATTATAAAATTATAAAATTATAAAATTATTTTGTTATATCCTTATAAAACTGTTGTAGACAATAAGAAGACATTATTAAAAGACCTTGTTTATTTTAGTAGGATTTTCTTTATGAGAAATTAATTGATTACTACCAAAAGTACGAATTTGTCGTGGTAATTCAATAAAACGCCATAGGCAACCTCAGATGGCAAAAACCGTCAAATGGAGGGGTACAATTCGAGAATATACGGTAGCAGTGGGGGCTTATTCGAGGGGAGGCTTGACAATTTGTAGTTCTAGGATGGGGGCTTATTCGAGGGGGATTTTTCGAGAGGGGGCCAATTCGAGGATTTACTGTATTTCTTAGTGCGTCACGCTACACTGATGATGTATCCTCTTCGGGCAGAAATAAAAAATCTTCCATCTTAGTAATTTTTGCTACTAAGACGTAAAAAACACTGCCAAATTCAGTGCAAATTCAAATTGGCTGCACAAAACTACAGCTTGATGCTGGGCAAGAAATATTTCCTTTATGCCCTTCTTTACCAGAAAAAGAGATAACTTCCAAATTACGTATAATCCCAAAAATTGCAAACTTTTCAATTGAGAAGTGCGCACATGAAAAAGAGGGTGTTTTGAGAGTACCTAGGACCCAAAACCCGGAAAATAGTTATGAAAAGCGGAAAACCCGGACTTGGAAATTGGAAAATCCTGAGATAAGATAGATATACTTCAACGTGGTTCACCTTTTCCCAGTTCTGCATTAAAAGACCTTCGTACCCGCAGTTATTACCAGCAGGAATATTTGTCTGCAAGGCACAGGGTAGATCCTTGCCTTTTTTCTCCAAATGAAGATGTCATCAGTGTTTGCGGAAGAACAGAATTTTAGGGAAACTTGTCGTAGATTGCGGAAATCTGGCAATTTCTCAACGGAACGAGGGAATTCTACACACTTGCCGGACGCAGATTTTCTCAAAATAATACACGGATTGCAGAAATTTCAAAATGTTTAGCGGGATTCTTAACCTGCTTTTTGTTGGATAGGATTACATCATCGCATGTTTTGATCTTGTTAATATATAAGTTGTTCATAAATAAACTTATATACACTCAGAGGTGGTGCCAGAAATCTTCCAACAGAGGGGTTGGAGCTTCCAACAGGGGGGCTAAATTGACTATAATATGCAGTTTTTGTACGTTATTTTGTCAAATTTGCTCCGACAATAACCTACAATTTTCTTCCGATAGGGGGGCTAGATGCTTCCGATGGAGGGACTGTAGCGCCCTAGCCCTCCCCATGCGCCACAACTGTATACATCCTATTGCCCAGTTGCCCCCTATCTGCTATTTTTGACCAGAAAGTACTTATTTCCACATTGTAAGGGCGTGTATGTTGAATTTAAGTTCTTCAGCATGAAACTGTCTTTCAGAATATGTACATATAATGTGATTTTAGCGACATCAAAATTTGAGCCCCTGCTGATCAGCGCGCCATATGGGATTTGCCCGAATAAGGAGTTCCCAATGTCCAATTGGTGGGTCTTTTTTCTGGTTATTCCCAGTATCGTATGGCCCCCGAAGGTCACTTTCCATCCGAGCAATTTTCATTTCAATAAAAGGTTTCGACAAGTGGGCTGAAATATTCAAACAAAGCTGCTTATGCGAGCTCTCCACACTTCCCTATCCGGCTTCCAAGTAACTTTTTGGCGATGTATGTTCATTGCTTGATTTTCTGCTTGTTTTTAGAGTCCTTGGTCTAGAGTGGCTATACTTTTCGTCTCGAGAATTTTTATAGTTTAAATTTTTCTGTCATTTTTTAATCTATTTATTTTACGATCCCCATGAAACTTCAAAAAACCAACAAAAGGCCGCCCACCCAAAAATAACTTCCGACAGTCTCTTCTGCACAATGTGCGTAGCCAAAAGCTAAGTGATAACACCCTCCCCCCAGGGATAATACTCCCATTATGGCCTGACAGGGGGGTCAGGTCAAGGTCAAAGAGGGCCAGCGCTAAAATGTTAGAAATTTACCCTCAAATGGTAGTACTTCTTGACAAAACCCCTCAAGCGGTAGCATAAAAACCGAAAACATTTCCTTGCTAGTATCCATTTCTTAGCCTGCGTTCCAGACCCCTAACTTGAAAGTTAAGGGTCTGGAGCACAGGCTACCATTTCTTTGTGCTCTCCTCGTTCTTTTTTGACAAATTTCTTCATAATTGATTGTTGTTGTTTGGGGAAAGATAAATCGTGTTCATTATCTATAACAAATCGCAAGCTAAACTGAGCAGTTCAGTTATTATCGAAAATGGGTCATTTGGTAGCCATTTGGTGAAACCCTCAGCAGCTAATGTGAATACCGTATTTCCTCTAATGAGCGCCACCCTCTGATAAACGCCGCCCTCTTCTAAACGCCGCCCTCTATTGAACGCCGCATCCAAAATTGTGAATTTGTAATAAACGCCGCGGCGTTCTTTAGAGATAATACGGTAATATGCGGAAGAACGCCGTAGTAGGAGCAAAAGCGCATTTGACAGTTGATGATGACAGTCAACTTTGACCAACTATTGTCTTATCGGGGCGAAGACCTTCTGGTGTTAAGGGTCCTTTTTAATGTAGTACTTGAGGGTCCTGGGTCTTAGGGTCTTAGGGTCTGGTTTTTACGGTATGCCCTTATAGGATCGTATTTAAGTTGCTTATAGAAAGAAATCAAAGTGGCATCAGGTTGCAGTTTTACGTCAAACCTTTTTCAAATGTATGCGACATTTACCTACAACACTGAGCTCGTATTGCACATGGGGGAAGTTAAAGAAAAGAAATCAAGCTTTTCCATTGAAAAAAGCTAACTGGTTGTCAGTAAGTCATTGAGAAGGGCAAAATACGTGAACTGTCAAGTAATCTTCTATCAACCAAGTACAAGAGCTAATGTCAGGGGCAAAAATCACCAATAGTTCTTTTTGAATAGCTAATTCTGTTACATTAGTGACCTGGTTCGATTCGATGTTCATTGTCACTAAAGTTTTGCAATTTCAAAGGTTATAATGGAGCCATTTAAAAATTTGCTGTTTTACATAGCATCCACTTACATCACACAGCTTTGACTACTACAAAGAATCCTTTAACGGTTTTGCTCTTTCAGTCCTAAGCAAATGCCTAATCTGTATAAACTGTGTGATAAATTTGCTCTTGAAGACATTAAAACTGTCACTGCATGCCATTGAAATTCTCTTTTAATGTTTTGGTAAGATCCTTAAAACGAGGCTATCATCAATATGGCCGTCTGTTGAAATATAGCATAAGGTTTTTATTGCTATGAAGATTTGACTGGTGCAAAGTATGGTTGAGCTATAAATCCTCGAATTAGCTCCCCTCCCCCCTCCAAAGAGCCCCTCATCCTCAAATAAGCCCTAATCCTAGAACTACAAATTGTCAATAAGCCCACTACCTCAAATAGACCCCCTACAGTAAATCCTCGAATTGGCCCCCCTCGATTTAGATTCACAGGTTTGTGTTCGCAGATTTGGAAGAAATGGAAAATTAAAAAAAATGATAAAGTAATCCAGCAACGGCTGACTTTGGCAAAACCGCTATGCTTGAAACTTCACGAAACAATAATGGCTATATCCAGGGCCAGCGCGAAGCAAGCTGTGTTGGGGGGGGGGGGGGGGTTGGGACTAAAAATTTACCTGATTATCTTTAGTTGCAGTCACATACCTCTGCAATAAATTTTGTCAATCTAACTCTGTATATAATTCGCAACTTTCATTATATGATAAGAACGAACTTTCCTAATTATTTGTTTTGGAAACAAATTGAACAGCAGATAAAAATAACTGGTACAATTTCACCACGGTCTTGAAAAATACCATGTTGTCAGTTACTTCTCAAGGTAGGTAACAAGCAGCACTGGTTGTCAATTTAGATCGCTTTTTCCATCTTATCATGCCTTTTGAATGTTAAAAAGATCTGGAGCTCATAGTGAATTGCAGTTGACGCTTCTACCGAGAAACTTTAGGGGGAAAAGACAATTTTACCTAAAGAGACCCTGGATTTTTAGATTTAGTGCCAACAAGAAATCTTCAAATCTTCAAATCATTAGTTTGTTTACCCTCATTCATATCAAGGAATATCATATTTAAGCAACGGAGCAACTACCTTTGCTTGATCATTTATTGATTTTATGACATGAAAGTCTCTGAAATACCTCAAGCGTTTCTTCCACCGAGCGGATTTTACCTGAAGTATCCCATTGAGATACTATTGGCACCCCCCCACCCCCACACACACACACACACCGCCCGGTCGCGGGGCCCCTGGCGATATCAACATCGAAAATCGCGTCTACACTCTAGCTACTAAATTAAATACTTTACTCAACGACAAATAAACTAATTAGGATAATTATAAAAACAGAACAACAACAGATCACAAGACAGGATGTTACATAAAAATTAGCCAAGGTGTGAACGAGAGTCACGCACGCGAAAGACATTTAAACAGTTAACAAGCTAAAGTTGAATTTTGGCCACCACACGAAGTCACAAATGCTCTAAAAAAGAGAAACCATAAAAAAGGAGAGTTTGAAAAAAGTTGCTTATTAGACACACCATATCATTAGGGAGAATCAGAGATTAAGCAATTTAAAGAAGCAAAAATTCGGATTTCGGAGGAGGATTCGGAATCGATGACAATTAAAATTGGTCAGGGCAACTGCAAAAGAAGTAGAATAGGGATTTGGACATTTACGGTGGCATAGACAAGAACATAAATACGAAATATCAGGCACCGCGGAGCAGGGGGAGCTTGAGGGGCTTTCGCCCCCACCACATTTTGCAAAAAATGTCAAATATTGAGTAATAAACTACCAGCCAAGCCTCTTTTATATGGTTTCAGCCCCCCCACTTTTCTAGACCCCCTATTTAATGTGGAATGTTGGAATGAAAAATTTATATAACTATACAACTACATGCTAACGAGGGCGAAGGTGAAGGACCCGGTTCGGATAATCCGATTAATACATGTCAAGGAGTTTTTTGACTGCATCAACGAATCACAGGTCGCCTAGGGTCAGGAAACGCTCTCCTAAAAATATGACATCAAGCAAAATATGGTAGCTCTCCGAATTGTTCATGTCCTAACAAGTGTATTTGTGTTTAATTTGGCTTCGTTGATACGATAATTTGTTGTATAGGAAGGCATTACCTAGCCTGCGTCACAGATCAAAAACTTCCGTGAAGTGTATACACTGATTTTATCTTGAAAACCTGAAATGTGGAATGTTGGAATGTAAAATTTATATAACTATACAACTACATACTAACAAGTGTATTTGTGTTTAATTTGTATACACTTCACGGAAGTTTTGGTCTGTGACGCAGGCTAGGCATTACCTTGCATAGAAAGGAATTGCCTTTTTCGACCTTCCCTTCTTGTTTCCTAATTGTTTCTTCTTATTCCATAGTCATTTCTACTCATTTCCCGTTATAGTTTATTTTCTAAAATGCGATTATTATTCGCTTTCTTAATTTTTCAACCAGTTTAAGAACAAAAGTTTCATAGATGTAACTCTAAATGTAACATATTAACAGAATATCTTATCATTCCCAAGGAAATAGGTGCCAAATGGTTGAGAGGAAAATTAGTTCAGTAAATTTTCACTGCTTGTTTCCTAACATTTTGGTAGTTTTTATAAACAGTGTTTATCATGCATGAAGGCCTCTTCTGTCGCTTTTATTATTGTTCTATAGCAACAAGTCCATTGAATCTGGGCAATCTTCGGCTAATCTGATTTTCAAGTAACATGAATGTTTAATAAACAGTGAGACTTCTGACGTGTTTCCTTTTCCTTCCAACTTTGAGCTACAGGAATTTGTACCTTGCAGGGGCCCTCGCCCTCTCATCTTTCAAACCCCATAAAAGTAAGAAAAAACTCAAAAAATCACTGATACTTATGTATTTATAGCCTCTCCTATAATCAGTATAAATCTTTAGTTGACATATCATTCTATTACTTAAAACAGCTTGGTAATATCAACACCACCAGATGCTAGTCTTAATTTATCAACAACGAACAGCATGTCAAGGCCCCATCAACCTTACTTAATTCTGTATTTGTAAGTTGAATTTTTGGGCAGTCAAGCGACGCAAAGTCTTCTGTTATTTGTGGGAATTCCATTGATGATCGATGTATCAAAGTGCCATTTATCCATAGGCAATTCGCAGCGGCATCGGTTGATACCTTGAGGAAGTTATATCCAAATTTGGCCTTTTCCTTCATTTCTTGAACTGCTTCTGAAGCCGCTTTGCTTGGTCCGTATGCAATAACATCATCTGAGGCTAAGCTTAGCATCGATTTTAAATGCAAAGTTGCGTCAATTACACGTATGGTATGGACTGGAAATAAAGGGAAGGCGCTCCGTAGCACATCTGCACCGTCCTGGTTGGTTCTTGTGGAAAGGCCAACAAAAAACTCTTTGCCTGTAAAGAGTACATCACCCCCATCCATTTCTGCGGGGTTCTCCATGCAAACAACTTCGGAGACTAGTTTTTCCAGAGCAGTCTTGATTGCGATGGTTTCTTTTTTCCTGTTGGTGTGGCCTGGGTTGGTAACAAGTGCTTTGTCGCCGCAAACTATTGCGGGGTCTTCCACAAAAACGCAATCGGGCAGTTCCTCATCAGCATCTAATAGCACGATCTGAAGTCCTAACTGTCCTAGCGTTTCAATGTATTGCTTGTGTTCTCGTAAAGCGTTTTCGTAATCAATTGGTTCCAAGGAGTTTTCCATTCTCAGTGCTTCGGTAACTAATGATTTTGGAACATGTCGACAAAGAGCTTTTTTGTAGGTAAACATTATTGCAGCCTTTAAACTACAACTTTCATCAGACAAGACTAAAGACTAATATCCTAATATGTCGCATGTCGGGCTGAAGACTAATATGCGGAAGTGTACTTACTAAAACATGGAACCACCTATAACCACCTGAAAAAACCCACAACGATCTGAAACCATCTAAAACCACCTTCAACTATCTACAACCACAATAACCATCACATTGTTTTCAAAATTCGCATTGAAATTAGCCGCCATGTTTGTTTTCCCGTCGTTGCAGTGAGGCTTCAAATAACTACATCAAAATTCCGCGGAAGATATTTCATTTTTTGGAACATCTAGCCTTTATATTTAATTTTGAGAAAAAAAATTGTCTCGAATGTGGATAAAAGACACTCGAAACGCGCGGAAAAGAGAAAGAATGGAAACGTACGAGTATCAAACAGCCTTTTAAAGAATGAAGTTTCAGCCAGACAGTTATCAAAGAACAACAACTCAAAGCGAAGTCGAAGGAATATTACCTTTGATATCGCGATCTTGACGAACCGAGAACACCAAAGTCCCAGAAGGTTTAGGTCCTTATTCAAGACACAAGGGATTCGAGAGACCTAATACGCTCTTTTTTTATAAGAACCAGTAAATTTAAGTTCAGGCTGACTGTTGTGAATTTTTTCGAAAATCTGAGGTTGGATTGTTCTTAATTTGTTCTTAAATTAAGAGGGTGTAACCAGTGCTATTGCTAGCTTTCTCGCTCTAAGGAGGTATTCGGGCCTCATTTGCCAACAAAGTGAGTGAGACAGCCTTAATTTGCTGACAAATTTGAATATTCACCGAAAAAGCACCCACATATCGCTAAAAATCCTTGATTTTGATCCTTGAAATCTAAACAAAGCTCTACGAATAATGAACTTTGCTAAAAACACAGCAAGCTCCAAACCAATTTACCATAAATTTGATATATTAAACCTCAATGATAGTTACACCCTGCAATGTGCAAAGTTTATGTATGACGTAAACACAGGCACGCAAATGGATTTTCTTTGTCAGCTCTTCCAAAAAACAACATCAAGACATAGCTATGATACACGGCAAGCTGCAAAACAAAATTTTGCTATCCCCAAAGCAAGAACTAACCTTAAAAAGAGATTCATTACGTTCAATGGAGTTAAAATCTGGAACGAAATCCTACTTAATATTCGCTCTAAACCAGTCAAAAGACTCTTCCAAAAACATCTCCGAAATTGGCTTCTGCAAAAATATTTATAAAACCCAAATGCACTTACTTTAAACCAACCCGAATATCTCATTCTTCGATTTCTAAACTGAAAACGAACAGAACTCTCGTGTCACCCCCCCCCTTCGTTTATATCCTTGTTCTCTCCTCTTGCCCCTTTGTATTTTGTTCTTTTTTTCTTAATATCTGTATCTTAATCTTAATATGTTTCTATTCTTCTTCTGTTATATGTTAAATTCAAATCAAAATTATTAGTAATTAGTTTCTACTTGTAATTAACTTTTACTTGTTCCATTGTTACTGTTATACTGCATGATTAACTATTACCAACTTAGGGCGCTAGGCTCGAAAACCGTTTCGGTTCCTCCCAGCGTCCTAGGCAACTTATTTGTTATTAGCTAAAATAGATGTCATATATTCTGTATTAACTACTATAATAATTAATTTAAGTACCCTGTAATTAGTTGCTGAATGCCAATGAATTTGAATTTGAATTTGAATTTGAATTTGATTTTGAGAAAAAACGTTGTTCAAAACTGCATTTTGCAGAAGCTCAGCCTCAGCTTGTTCTTAACTCGTTCTTAACTTTCGACCAGTTTTGAGGCTCGTGTTCTTATAAAATTGTTCTTATAAAAAAAAGAGTGTAGGCCTAAAGTAGTTCTAGTGAGTTTGTGAAAGTCAAGAAGAAATCTGATCATAAAATATAGTGAGATTTTGGAAAGTGGTTCAATGTGGCACGGCTATTTCTCATGGGCACACTACGTAATCCTTCATCAAGGATCTCAGTTGTTAACAGAAAAGACATCACATCAAATTTTATGCACATCGAATGAAGCATCAAGCTTAAAAGAACGGGATGAACAGGGGGATGGGTCCGAGCAGTTGGTAGAAGGGAGAGTCACGGGGTCACTTGATGGTTAGGGCAGGGACGTCACTTCACTAATTTTTTGGGGGGGTGTAAACACTATTGCCCTGCAAACTTTTTCCTGTAAAACAAGTATAGATGTACTGTACTTATGCATATATTACATAAGTACATATATTATTTTCAAAAAGCAACACAAACCAACAATCGCAATAAAAAAAGTCAATAATTAGTCTACTTTCACACTAATTTACTTAATTGAAATTCTTCTCATTTTTTTTCATGCCATACTTTTAATACTTTATCAAGTGGGATAGTGTCTGTTAGGTCTTTCTCACAAGCAAGTAGAATGAGATCATTCAATCGTTCATCTTTCATCCTTGATCGCAGCAAATTTTTAACAATCTTAAGTTTGCTAAAGGTTCGCTCGTCTTTAGCCACAGACACAGGTGCTGTAAGAAGAAGGCTGTAGCATTTGTAAACCGTTGGGAAAAGTCGTCTGTTTTCATATGAAAATTTGGCAGCCTCTTTGACGGAAGTTGGCTGGATCTGTTGCTGTTCAATCATTGACTTAAAAACATCTAGCTCACATAATATAACCCCTGCTTCAATATGAAAGCCTGGTGGGAAAAGCTTTCAAAGATCGTGGACTGTTTCTGGGTTTATCGTTTTGAGTGGTGGCTGCAACGCCATTGCCAATGGCTCAATTTTTTTAAGCATGCCTTGATATTTTCACCATACTCTGCTATCAGAGAATCGAGAACAACACACATTTCTGTTCTGTAGAAGGAATTAAATTTAAATTCCGCTGATCTTTCTGGACCGTTGTCAATCTTTCTTGGCTGCAACCTGAGTCGATATTTCCACTAAACTCAGCCGCTGAATCTATTCCATGCTGTTTAGCGCACTCGTTTAGAGCATCCAACTCTTCATCCATAGCCTTGTTATCAATGCGAATCTTCTTAAGATTTTCTACTGTTGCTTCAATTAACTTCATCGCATCTAGGATGTTAAGCTCTTCTGCTTGGAGTTGCATCGTCAAAATCTTTGTTTTCTTCATAATTAATCTCATGAACATCAATGCAAAAAGAAAGTCAAATGACAGACACTTTTTCTTTATGTCTTTACCCTTCACTTTTACCCTTCATTTCTGTGCTGTCGTCACTGACAACTTTTTCAATTGCTTTGAGTATGCTTTGTAAACTTCACCACACTGCTTCTATCGACTCTGAAGAGTAGACCCATATCGTTTTAGACATGTTGCGGAGTTTCAAGGAGTACTCATCAACTTCTTGAACTTCTTTATTGTAAATTTTGTTTCGTTTGGAGCTGGCACTGAAGAAAACATATATATCTTGAAGATTATCGTATATCGACGTAATTATGGCACTTTGTTTTGCACAATGCTCTTTGAAAGTATTAGATCGATGCCCTTGACATGGAATGTACGTGTCTTTCAAGAATATCTTGTAGAACCCTCTGTGCCCCTGCAATTCTCCCAGAAATATTATTTACGAAATCTTTTTTTTGGAAGCAGAGATAATTCACATTAATGTCATTTGCTTCCAGACACTTGAGAATACATTCTGCTGTCTTATCTCCATGTTTGTCATTGCACTCTTTCATTTCCACGACTCTCTCGCGCGCAATTCCATTTTCACCAATATATCTTGCAGCCACAACCATTTGATCCTTATTGCTAACATCGGGTGTTGTATCGGCCGAAACCGACAACATTTTAGCACACTCAATCTCATATTTTATTCTTTCTCTAACATTCTCCCCCCAGATCTCTAAAAGTTCATTTTGTGAACTAGAATCATGTATTTCGTACTGAAAGGCTTCAATCGTTTGCTATCAAGCCATTCTTTAGACAGTGCCTGGACAGAAGATTCACAAACTGGACAGAATTGCCGTTCTGGTCTCCTGCGGAGCCTCTGAAAGCAATTCCTTGCCTTGCCAGTGTTCTAGCAATATCAAACAAAATGTTCATTATCGATTTGCATTTTTCTTCGTCAGCCTTCTCCTGAATGATGATGTCCTTCAGATGCCTATTCATTTGAATGTCAATATGTCCTTGTTCGACTGAAAACCCTTGTTGAGCAAATCAGCCAATGA